TTAATCAATATTGATTTTGATTAATTAAGAAATATTATTATAAGATATTGGTCAGTTTGGAATTTAAAAATCTAAATTGATATTATTTGGAAAGTTAATTTACAAAACATTAAAACGGATTTATTAAAAATACAATATTCTAAAATAAATTTAGAATGTTTTGTAAAATTGTTTCTCAGTTGTTTGTAGTAGTTCAATTAAGGACTTTGACCAAAATAAGACGCTTTGAATAATATTTTATCGGTATGCCATGCTCCATTTCGAATTTTCCAAAATGTCACGTTCAATCCCGCTACACCACCGAGCGAGACTGTAAGATGACATGTGGCGGTCAACCATGGAGTCTCATTCCCGCTGGTCTGACAAGCTGGAATGACTTATCAATCAGATACCGTAAAGTTCTAAAAAATTCGCCACGTGTCATGTTGCCACCATTCGCGCTAGATTGGTACACATCGTACAACTTCCTGACTTCCTGATGCATGTCGGATGCGTGGCTGGTTCTCCTTATTCGCGCTTGTCAGCAAAGCGGGATATGTGCAACTGTGCGTCTATATAATCTCACTCCCCAACCCCACCACCCACCCATCACTTTCATCTTTTTGATCTTTTCAATATTTTTTTCTTTCAAAACTCTCTTTCTCTCTCTCCGGACCACAGCTCCATTGAAAGGTTAGTTTATATTTAATAATTTTTTTTCTTTTAATTATCAGCATTAGTTAAATGTTTAAAAATCATAGGATAGATGACTTTAATAATTTGATTAGATGAAGTAGTAGTATAAGTTAATTTTGTATTGTAGTTAATTATTAGAATTAGTAATTAGTTTAGTATTTAATTTTGATATTGTATTTAGTATTAGCATTTGTTAATAAAAAAGTATAGGATAAACATATAATTATTTTTTTATTATATAAATTAGTAGAATAAATAAATTATAGGTTAGTTAATTTGTGTAATTATTAATTAGGATAGTAATTTTTTATATTTTTGTGATTATTAGGATTTATTAATAAATAAATTATAGGATCAAAGACATTGTTAATGTTAATTATAATATTTAGTTGAATATTATTTAGGATTGTTAATTATAGTAATTAGTAATTAGATTTTGTATTTAAATTTAATTTTTTTTAATAGTGGCATTTGTTAATAAAAAATTATAGGATAAAAATTTAATTATTTTTTTATTATATAAATTAGTAGAATAAGTAAATTTTAGGGGAGTTAATTTTTGTAATTAGTAATTAGGATAGTAATGTTTTTTTTATATTGTTGTGATTATTAGGATTTATTAATAAAGAAATTATAGGATGAAAGACATTGTTAATGTTAATTATAATATTTAGTTGAATATTATTTAGGGATTGTTAATTATAGTAATTAGTAATTAGATTTTGTATTTAAATTTAATATTTTTTTAATTAGTAGCATTTGTTAATAAAAAATTATAGGATAAAAATATAATTATTTTTTATTATATAAATTAGTAGAATAAGTAAATTGTACGATTTAAAAAAAATTTAATTAGTAATTTGGGTAGTAAGTTTTTAATATTGTTGTTATTATTAGTATTTATTAATAAACAAATTATAGGATAAGAGACATTGTTAATGTTAATTACAATAATTAGTTTAATATTATTTAGGGATTGTTAATTATCGTAATTTGTAATAACATTTTGTATTTATATTTAAATTTTTTTTTCAGTAGCGTTAATAAATAATTATAGGATAAAAATGTAATTTCTTTTATTATAGGTTCATGGCATTCCCACCTGATTCACTGCACGGTTTACCGCCCCATGAGGACCATGCTCCCACACCTCCCGGATCCCCTGACTCTCCTCGTAGGTTGATTACACCCGGGCCTATTAACCTGTCTCTCCTGACATTACAGGATAAGCACATATCCACATATGTGTGTAATGGTGAGGCAGATTGGTGACTTAATGTCAGGATGGCGGCCACACACGATCCTATGCACATTCCTAAGGAGATTCATCCATACTTGAGGTAGGCAGGTTTCTTCCACGTTGCGTGGCTGAGCAACCATGATGGGAGTATATATTGTTTTGTTGATTTGTGTGCACAAGTTTTTGTAATTGTACTTTTTTTAATACATCACATGTATTTATTGTTCCAGATTGACCATGCCCTTATTTCTGCTCTCGTTGAGCGTTGGCACCCTGAGACGCAGACGTTTCATATGGCCCACGGTGAGATGACCATTACTTTGGAGGATGTTCATCATCTATTGGGCTTGCCCACAGATGGTCATGTTGTTTCTGGTCGGGCTGGACAGCATAATTGGCGACAGCTGATTCGTGGATATCTTGGGCTTGAGCCAGCAGCAGTGCGAGATTTAAGTGGTGGGGGGTTGAGTCTCCATTGTTTGCATGAGGAATATGGTAACTACTCTGGGCATAATGCCACTGAGCAGCAGCGCATTATGTATACACGCGCCCTGATCATGCGTGTGTTAGGGGGGTTGCTGTTCGTGGATACTGCCTCAAGTTATGTGCCTGTATGATTTTTATTATTCCTTGATGTTTTTCATCGCACAGGCACTTTTAGCTGGGGTTCTGCGGTGCTTGCTTATCTATATCGTGAGTTGGCTAGAGCGACATACATAGCTCGCTCAGACATGGGTGGATGTGTATTGCTTCTACAACTTTGGGCGTGGACGCGCTTACGCCGAGTCGCCCCTCCTTTTCCCGATGTGGTTGACTAAGAGGCCATATACGGTCACAGGTATGAGACATATTGAGTATAGTTATGTCTTATGTTTGCCATAAAGGGGTTACTAATATTTTTTTTTTAATTACGCAGGTTTAATGTATATGATAGGCGGCAGCATTGATCCACCAACTTGGAGAGAGTTCAGTTTCGCCTAGATGTTATACGCAGACATAAGATTGTTCGGTTTTTATATTTACTAAGCTGCCACTCTGGGCTCGTGCATTCCAACAATGCTCGGAGAAGGAACCGCATAACACACAGCGGTGGACAGACATGAATCAAAATCTCCATCCACGTCGGTGTCCGAGGAGTCACTGCCCGGGACTAACCCTTCGTCCACCTCTTCGTTGGAACTGTCAGTACGCCATGCCGAATCAAACATATCATGAGCAACATCATATTCTGCACACATTGGTTCAGGAAGGGGTGGTTCGGGTGACACATTTATGTCTTCAGGACTCACAACTGGCTCCATGTTAATGTCAATAACGTTAATTGAAGGGAGAGAATATTGAGGACTCATAACCGACTCCATATTAATGTCGATAGAGTGAGTGGAAGGGAGAAAATGTTGACTGCTACACTGTCCACCGGAGTCTACTTCCGCGTATAGTTCAGTAAATGTGGAGTGTGAATGATTTCGAAATGCATCTACCACTAAAGCAACATCTTCATCCTCAGCGATCTTTACAGGAACCCAACTTTCAGGTCCCGAGGCACATCTAGCAGTCAACCGAGATAAGACTTGGCCTCGTTGTAATCTCAGCTTCTGATATATTGTCTTTTTTAGTTCATTAAAACTACACCGCGTGCTCATACAAAATATTTTCGTTTCTCCTTCAAAAACTTGGCCATTTAGACCCAAATATTTTCTCCCATTATAATATAACAAAGCAATTACTGAATCATTACCGTCACTCATTTTCTAACTAATAACATAAAATTACAAAAACAAAAAATGAATACAGAATCTAACCTTCGCAATTTTGGTCCACCCTTTTTTTACTTCTTCTGGTTGCTGGAATGTTCATGTTTTACTACTATTTATAGAAGAACCAAACTTGGGAGGCAGCCCATCGTGAATAAGGGGGGTGCTAACACGTGTCGAAAAAGTATGACCCATACCAGCTAGGCAACCCAGCGCGATTCAGGGGGTGCTGACACGTGTCTGAAGGTACACCCAATCTAGCTGGGTTGACCAGCGCGAATGGCGGTAGGGTGACATGTGGCCTGCTTTGCAGAACATACAATCAATACAACTAGACTGACCAGCGCGAATGATGCGAGGGTGACACGTGTCTTGCTTTTCAGAGTGTGCAGACTGGTTGATTGACAAGCCATTCCAGCTTGTCAGACCAGCAGGAATGGGGCTCCATGATTGACCGCCACGTGTCATCTTACAGTCTCGCTTGGTGGTGTAGCGAGATTGAACGTGGCATTTTGGCGAATTCAAAATGGAGTGTGGCATACCAGTAAAATATTATTCAAAGCGTGTTATTTTGGTCAAAGTCCCGTTTACGATTAGGATACCCGCATACAAGGACTATAAATTGGCCAGAGCAAAACCATGAAAACAAGAAAAAAAGAAGAAAAGAAAGAGACGAGAGAGTTATGTGGAAGAGAAATCTCTTATTCGTAGAATCTTGGCAACTAATTAAGATATATTTCTAAATAGTAAATACTAATCTCTTTACTTGCTGCTTCAATAAATTTTATCACTTTTTATTATACGGATTTTTATAATAACCACAAATTGCTTTGGATTTGTTTCATTTCCCACACATCGAAGAATGCATAAATAATAGCCATTGTTACACAATGGAGCACTATTCCCCCAGCTCGTTTTAGCTGGTTAGTTTTTTGTTTTCTCGTGAAAAATTAATTAAAAGAAATTCACATCTTAACACTGTACAATTTTCTAACGCATGGTAGATATTACATTGAAGGGTAGCCTCAAGAAAATTGACACGAGCAAAATGGTAAAGAATTTTTTTGCATAATAACATAACATGTTTGTTGATTCTTAGATAAGTTTGTGATCCTTAGCACTTTATTCCATCAAACAAACACCACTTTATCTGTTAAAATTTGGATATATATATATATATATATATATATATATACGAGGAAGGATCCGTTTACAAATATTTTTACAAATTACACTAAGTATGACCGGTCATACACTCTTGATTGAAGTATGACCGGTCATACTTAGTGTAGTTTGTAAACAAAAAATTTGTAAATATAACATTTTCCTTATTTCTTATATATATTTCACAATTTAGCATTGCTCTACATTAAAAGCAAAACTGATGAGTGTTTTTGGCTAGATTGTAGGGGAGTTTATACCTTCCTTAGTATAGGATAAAGTGCAGAAGAGATAATTGTGGCCAAGATATTAGATGGTATAACTACTGATGGAGAAATGCGTCCTTTGTCTTTCCTTATCAGCAGCCCTTCAATGATTGGATAGTTGACAACAATGACATAAACTGGAAGCAAAAGCTGTATGAACATCACGTCCCAATCTCCCACAGACACCACTCTGTAGATGCCCCCTATGAAGCAAAATATGTTGATGAGGAGGACTGCAAGCATTGGTACAAGAAACATGTTTGATGTTCTAAAGTCATATTTGTCCATTTGGTAAAGTCTAGTCTTTTCATCATCCTCCACTTTATTGGTTGCTGTGAAACTAGCCTTCCTTAAACCAAATTTCTTCAGTAGAGTATCCAAAAATCCGTATAAATGACTTGTGATTGATTTCATCATCCATATCCTCTGCTCAATTATACATTTTCTTAATGTTCCTCCAGTTGAGAGGACTTCAACTAAATGTTTGGTCATAGCTGATAGAAAGATGAACACAAAAATGAAGAACAATGGGTCTGAGACCTGACACCAAAAAGAAAAAAATAAGTTAGCTTATGTTACAATGTTTGAAGTATGGGAAATATAAGAATCATGTTGTTGGAATGACACTGTTTATTCCTACAACAAGGATCCGGTTCCGTATGTTGAGAATACAATTTTGTATTTTGACTTTTTTTTTTAAACATGAGACCCACACTTGATTTGTGTGTGCAGATAAAATGCTCTTGTCATGTGACATGACAAAAAGTGAACTTTTCAAGGAAATATAATCAATTCAAGGAAAAATGAAGGCATAGGAAATGCGCATAATTTTAGTTGTTACCTTCGGGTAGAGGGGAGTTCCATCTACTAGACAAAGCTGAGGGACAATAGCAAAACACCAAAGAGGTAAGCAATAAAGAGGGAAGAATGTAAGTTCTGCTAAACAAAGACTCTGAAGGAGAGGCATCCTTAAAGGCCCACATATAAGGGGGCAATGCTTGCTTAAACCATTTTCAAGCAATCCAGAGGCCCATCTGGTGCCTTGAACTAGAAAATCATTCAGATTAGTTGTACTATTTCCAAGGAACTGTGGATTTGGTGGATCACAATAAACTGAATTCCAACCATTGCAATTCAAGATGATTCCAGTGTGAACGTCTTCACATACAGTACCATACAAGAAGCCAACCTGCAAGCATACAAAAATAATAATATTGAAGTACATTATGTATGCTATATAGATTAATTAAAAAGTCTCTTTGGATAATAAAATCTGCATACCTCTTTACCCCATTTAGTACCAATTTCATAATTACAAGAAGCCAAAATCAAAGTCTCTTCTTTGGGCAATGTATGTCCAACAGAGACTACATTAGGAGTGCAATTTTGTTTTAAGGATTTGATGAACTCATTGAATGTTCCAAAGTATTGTCGGAGTTCAAGATCAGTGTCTAACATTGAAAACATAGAGCTATATTAGTATGTAGCAATGTATGTGTATGTTCATTCCAAAATACTGTATCTCAAGCAAATCAACTGAACAAATCATCATGCTCTATACCTTTAATTTTGTAATTCCCATATAGTGATTCCCTTTTCATATAGAAGCCTGTGCCAGACAATAGAGGTCCCTTGAGCCCATCCATACCTTGCCATAGAACCTAAAGTTGTGGCCGAAACATAGTTAAATACTTTATCAATTCATTTTGAAGATATAGATATCTATGCAATTAAACCACAATTTGAAGTTTTGTTTGGTATCCTTTACTTTATATGCTGATCTGTGCTGACTGTCATAGATGTCATTCTTGCTTATATTGTGAAATTTCTGAGGAAATTGAACAAAAGCAAGTGAAGGTGATATCTTGGGATCTAGGTGGAAACACAATGCTTGTCGTGCTGATGCTGGGTCATTGCAGAACATGTCACAATCCAGCACTAGAATATATGGAGCATTGCTTGTCACAGCAGAGACGCGATACTGCAAGAATATATATTTTATAAGTAATCAAATAGTTGATTGTAAATCTGTAAAGAAGGTTGACAATGTTCACTGTGTTCCAATGTTTCATTTAATAGAATCTCCTGTTATCTGTGTCACATTTGTTTTTCACTCGGTTTTTGTTAAATATGCAATGATAATGTTGAGTTCTTTTTGTAGATACTTGTGGACCGATGTAAGGTGTTTCTCACAATTTTGTCCCTGGAAAATGCCTTTAATAACACCTACAGAGAGAGATAGAGAATCATACAAGGGCATTGAGGGCTCCAGCTTTGAAATGGTGGGGATGTGAAGGCTTTTTCTCACGGGAAACATATACAAGGAGAGGCAATTTCACTTGCTCTATTTCACTGCTGGTATTTTCTTGCACTACCTGCAATCATCAGTATTCAAAATTTGGTAAGTTGTATAATTGGATGTTTCTCATCATAGTTAAGTAGTTAACCAAGTGTCAAATGCAAACTCACAAGATTTTGTTATCATATATCACAGCAATTTAATGAAAACACCAGCAACTCACAGAAAATTATTGTGATATATATTTACTAATCAATCATCCAAGCCATTTGAGTTGACATGTTGTGATTTAAGACAAATATTAAAGTCAAATTCAAGAAGAGGTTGATTCAAGCACTAATCAAGCCCTATATAAAATTTTGAATTTGATATAACTGAACTATAATTGAGCAAATTGAGCCAAGGCTATTTTTAAGTCATGCTATTTTTAGTACTACGACCATATAAGCAAGGGAAAAACTATTCTCGTACTACATGAGATATATTTTCACTCCTACATACCCTTTGATAACTGTGTCACATTTTTATTTTATTTTTTTTTATTTTTTCAGGGGTGAAATCCATTAATTTGTCTCTATGACATGAGATAACTTATCTCCTTTAACATGATTAATAAAAACCTATAAGCAATGTGGATAACATTTTACCTCTATGATAGATGGATGATTTTTACCCGTTATGCCAGTAGTATCTCCAGAGCGACCCTGTTCTTCTTTTACTGTTACTATGTTTTCTTTGAAAACCTCATATTTTTCCTGCAGAAAATTGACTTCATCTATAAATCAAGTATTGCTCCTAAAATACAAAATTTCAGAGAAAATTAACTTCATCTCAAATAAAACCGACCTTGATCATTTTCTCATCTGCAAGAAACTCAATGTTCTCAGCAAAATCACCATTATCATTCTCTGAAGCAGAAAAGTAAGCTGCGGGGCACCTACATTTTATTGTGTATCTTGTGCAGAAAGGAAGCCACCACTTTGCAAATTTCCAAGCCTCCCTCATAGCATTCAAGGTGATAGATGAACCTCCATCATCAGAAACATACACATGAAGTTTCTCTGGTGGGTAATCCAGTGCCATGGCTGATAACACAGTATTCATCACGTCTACAGTGGGTTCCTTAGTTGGGTCTGCAGTGCATATGAACACATCAATAGGAGGAAGCTTGTCATCCTCTGGTAATCTTTCTGGAAACACAGTTCTCGAAATGGGGTTCCAACGAAAAGCTTGGCCAATAATCCAAATGAAGGAGAGAATGATTTCAGATGCAAAAACAAGAACCCAAGGTAACAATGGGGTTCTTCTGGTTTGTGGATCCTGAAAGAAGAAACACAGTCTATAATAAACCAAGAAACATAAAGCAGTTGAATGAAGGAGCATGTGTAACCTATTGGTTAAAACCATAGGCTTGTGAACATGACTGAGACTGAGAGGAAGAGTCTCCCCCATTGTCCTCTCACTGTGTTTTAAAGGTTCATATGCAGTTATATATTGTATTTGCTCTCCAAATGTATATGCCTATTTATAGTTTATTTTTAAGAGTTTAATGCTGTTTATTTTGTAGGGGATAAATATATATATATATATATATATATATATATATATATATATAGAGTTCGCTTTTTCGGTAATTACTGCGGATAAGTTATATGCAGTAAATCCACTACGACGTCGTTTTAGAGCGGAAATCATAGTATTTTTGTAATTTTAATTTATTTCAGGATTATAATAGTCTTTATATTTAAATTTTTTAAGATTTTAATACTAAAATGACGTAGTTTTGAAAATAAATGCAGATAACTTATCTGCATTAACTGCAAAAATATTTTTTTCATATATATGTGTGTGTGTGGAGGGTCCATATTTTGTATTTTTTTCTTTTATCTTCACATTATTCTATATAGATCTTATATATTTTTACGCAGGTGTAAGAGATAAATTTATATATTTCAAAATATTAAACCGTATATTTAGTTGAAGGAAACTTCAGTGTGAGAAATATCATGTTGACTAGTAATCTCATTAGAATTTATTTATTGTGGTTATGGGCTTTCAATGATCATATGATATGAGAGCCAATGATTCAACTTGAAGTCGGAGAAACTTCCTTGGCAGCCACTCATGACTTTCAGATTAATCAAGTAAAGTCTAAACTGGTCAAAATTTGCGTGCAGATAAGTATAAGTGTTGAAAGGAAAGAAAGAAAAATTGTCTGTATTTCTTTTCACCTGCCACCAGTATCAAACAAAGAAAAGGAAAAAAGAAAAATGATAGTATAATAATTAAGGCAATTTGATGGGCTGTCAAAAAGCCTATACAATAGAGTGACCCAAATGTCACATATTTCAGAAATAATTGTTTAAATATCAGCAAACTGTGAAATTTTTCAAAGTAATATGCATGGAAATTTGCTATAACAAGCAGCAATTTTAGTTTGCAGACGTGGCCATACCACTTAATAATAAATTATGTGGCCAAAATATCAATTTGCTGCGACTAAAAGCAAAATACGTGACAATGACAAATTAACTACTGGATATAGTGAATTAAGTAGGCTGCTCTGACCAAAAGTATGAGACGTGATAGCCAATGAAAAATTCGTTACGGAACATAGCTAATTAGGTACAGTTCGCTACCACCGGTCCACCGTGCCGTTTTTATTATTATAAGAAAAAAATATTTGTCATTTTAAATAGAAGTGTTCATCAACCGATCCAAATCGATTTAAATCGCGGTAACCGAACAGAAAAATCGAAAATCGAATAAACTGAATATTGAAAAATCAAAACAAAAAAAAATCGTAAATTTTAATTGAATTAGATTGGTTTTCAGATTGATTGATGAAAAATGATCCATTCTACACTGATCCAATATATTAATTTCTCTCTACTTACTTGGGCTTTTTTCCAATCATAGCCCAAAATTTTCTAAACACAAGACTCGTTAACCCATCAACTAAACCCAAGAAAAAACCTAGTCACATCTAATCAACAAAATTTCATCTTTGTAGAGCTTCATATCTCATCGCACAAAAAAAGACCATATTATCGTTTACTTTTGTATTTCAATTTTTTTTTTTTACAAAATCAATATATACAAAAGATGTTATTTGCACAATAATTATGAAACAAATTTTAGGATTTTTAAAAAACTGAAAATCGATCCAATTCAAACCGAAAAAAATTAGATTGGATCGGATTTGAAAAAAAAATTAAACCGAATGGATGATTATATGATCAAGCCGAAGGGATTAGATCAGATGATTTTTGTTTCCAAAAATGATCCAATCCAGACAGCGAACACCCCTAATTTTAAATGACATAAAATTATATAATTTTAAAAGAGATAGACACAAAATAAATCTTTTTATTTAAAATTTAAATTAAAAAAACACTCATTTTCTTTCTAATAATTTTTATTTCTTGTGTCTATCTCTCTCCTAAAATGACATAACTTATGTCATTTAAAATGACAAACATAAAATTCTTATTATAATATGAGTAAATACCCTTTTTAGTCCCTGACAATATCCACGAAGCCATTTTCAGTCCCTAGCAATAAAAAGGGACAAATTGGTCCCTGAAATAACAAAAAAGAGGCCACGTTCATCCTTCCTTTAACTCCCACTTAACGGCCCAACTAACGGTGCACAGTTGGCACGTTAATTTGCTGAAGCGGCTTGGATATGGGACACCGTAGAAGATGAGACGACGACGTTTTGGTCCCTGTCAAAACCACGAGGGCCATTTTGGTCCCTGTCAAAATGCACGAGGACGTTTTTAGTCCCTTACAAAAAGCACGGGGCCCTTATTGGTCCCTAACTAGAGAAAAATAGGCACATGACTTCATTGCTTTTCTATGCAGTCCAATTTTGTGAAACAGAAGTGCATTACATCAGAAACAGAAGTGTAATTCATTTGTTCATCACAAAGTAATTAAACTAAATTTCATCACAAAGTAAAATACTCCTTCTTGGCATTTTATTTCAATGAAGTTTGTGTTTCTAACTGAAGTTTCGACCTTATTAACGATTATTCATTTCTTTTTCAATGCTAATTAAGCTTCCCACTTTGTTAAAAGGGATTCTTGGCTCTTGCAAACAGCTTTTACGATCCCTAGAATACTATGAACTGCTTTAATTCTCTTAGTCTGTATAAGACATAACGTTATGCGATTTATAAACAATATCTTCAGTAGTGTAGCATTACAATTATACTATTTATTTTTCTATAAAAGATAATTACATGATTGTTGATATTTAAATACAGAGAAAAATCAGAAAAGAAGCCACGTAAATGATTGTTGATAATTGCAATGCATTACAGTTGACTGGACTGCAGCAGTTGGTAGTTCTCAGCCACATGAAGGCAACTTGAGAGGAAGCAACCCACCTCCATCAAATCCACAACAGGAAAATGAGCTGTTAAGTAATGAAACAATGAATGCAGCAACCAGTGGCACATGAAGCAAATTATTGGCCTTCATGAGCACACCTGGTTTTAGGCCACCAAGGCCTGCCTCAAGAAAATGACCTGCTGTTGTATATGACCTGAGAGTAGTGCATGAGCCAACTGAGAAGGGTTTATTATTATGTGACTGACTTTTTTTGAAAATTCTGGCCATTATGTATTTGGAGGCCTTATTATGTCAATATTTTTTTTGTAAATTCTGGCCATATTGTATTAGAGGCATTTCTTTTAATTCCTGGCAGTTGGCTTTATTTTGTAATGCTCTACTGTACATCCATGTCTTCAAATATAATGATAGTCAAATCATGTTCTAGCTATTATGTTTCACAGGGTTGATGAATGTTTAAGTTTATCATTTTTGATATTTTTTAACTAATATACGTAGTTGTAGTTCTTGTACATCCATGTCTTCTGGTTTAACAAATTGGACTGCATACAAATCCAATTTAATGTCACGTTCCTATTTTTCAAAATTGGATTGCACTCCTGTTTCTGTTGTAATGCACTTCTGTTTTGCAAAATTGGACTGCATAGAAAAGCAATGAAGTCATGTGCCTATTTGTCTCTAGTTAGGGACCAATAAGGGCCCCGTGTTTTTTGTCAGGGACTAAAAACGTCCTCGTGCATTTTGACAGGGACCAAAATGGCCCTCGTGGTTTTGACAGGAACCAAAACGTCGTCGTCTCGTCTTCCACGGTGTCCCACATCCAAGCTGCGTCAGCAAACTAACGTGCCAACTGTGCACCGTTAGTTAGGCCGTTAGGTGGGAGTTAACAGAAGGATGAACGTGATCTTTTTTTGTTATTTCAGGGACCGATTTGTCCCTTTTTTATTATTAGAGACTGAAAGGGACTTCGTAAATATTGTCAGGGCCTAAAAAAATGTATTTACTCTTATAATATACATTTTTAGTTTCAAAACATAGCCAGTTAGTTGTTTTCACGGCTAGTTTAAAAACCATAAAAGTCTGCAAATTCTGATACTTATACTGTGCAATGGTGACCTGATAACTGACCTGCATAGTTTTAAATTAATTATTTGGAGTCGTACAATACGCGTTAAAAAAATTGCAGGAGAGATTTTAAACATTTGTTAAGTTTTTTATATAATAAATATTTGATAGTTTATTAAAGGTTTTAATATTTCTACAGTAAATAAGTTATTTATATTTATTTTTAAAATAATATTATTTTGAATTTAAAGATTACAAAATTATAATAAAAAAAATTATTATAACCCTGAAATAAATTATAATTATAAAAATATCTTAATTTTTGTCCCAAAATAATATCATTTTGAACTCAATGTAGATAACTTATCTATATTAATTGTAGAAAAAATAAACCCTTTATTAAATGGAAAAATTTGATTTATTATTATTTAAATAAAAAATTATAAAATTATAATTATTTTGAATCAATTTGGTCCCTCACAAATTCAAAAAAGATCCACATTAGTCCTCAAAAGGATTAAAATGGCACTTTGAATTTCTTAGGGATCACAGATAGCTTTTTTATTTGTTAGAGACTAAAGCGGATATCATAAAATTTACTGAAGATCAAAAATGATATTTAATCTTAAACATCTATAGGAGTTTTACTTTACCCAGATAAAATTATTCTTTCTCCACTCAGACGAAACTAGCCTAGCCGTCTCTATTCACTAATTGCTTATCTTGTAAATTGAGGGAGAAAAAAAAGGGGACATTGACCATATTGCTCCCTTTTTTCATATAATATACCTCACAGAGTCAATTTTTTTTTCCAAACTAACACGGTACCATAGTCGCTGAGGTAGTTAGCTACTATGGACGAGACACGTGTCATTTTCTTAGTGGCTGGACATGCAACCCAAAGTAGCTAAGGTAGTCAGCTACTTTGATTTCCAGTCGCTAGAAAAGTGACACGTGTCTTGTCCATAGTAGCTGACTACTGTTGACAAACTCGGCAAGTGCACCGATCGTACAAGTAATAAAGTGATAAGAAGGTTGTCGATGCC